TAATAGGGACACCATAATTATTTCTTTTTTTTTTTGTACCTGGAATTGAACTCAGGACTTTGAGCTTGCCAGGCAAGCACTGTGCCACTGAGCTATATCCCCAGCCCCACAGTACTTATTTCATCCATGAGAAACTAAGGCTGAGCAACTGGCCCTCTCCGAATGTCATTACCTTGCCTACTTGGAAGCAGTCGTCTGCTGTGAGGGAGAAGAGCCGTCTCGGACTGTATAGGTCAGTGACAGCAGAGCCAGTGACTCTCTGGAAGACACCCCGGGCGAGGCCCTTTACATTGAGCATGTATACATCCTGCAGCCTCATCAGGGCCCGTGCAGCACCCTCCAGGTCCTCAAAGGCTGGCAGTTCTTGCTCCACTTTCTCATAACCATCTTTCAGAGCTGTAAAGGTAGTAAGAACATAATCTAAAAAACATAATTCAAAAACACACATGGTAGCGTAGGGGTGTATCTCAGTGGTAGAACACTGGCTTAGCACGTGTAAGGCCCTGGGTTTGGTCCCCACCACCACCAACAAACACACAGCAGGTGGTGAGCATTTAAATCATGCAGGGCATGACCATCTATTCAAACAGCTGACGAGATAATATTTCATTTTTCTTTGTTCCCAGTGGCAAGCACAGCTCCTGGCACACAGTAGGTTGAGGACTAAAAATAAGGTGGTTGAGGGCTAAATGAATGGTTGAGGACTAAAAATAAGGCACACGCTATTGTGTCATCCTATATTTCTCCAGGAATCTTACCCTTTAAGGAGATAACTCTTCCTTTTTACTTCCCCAAAGCCAATAAACTTGTTAAAGTACGGAGTAGAACATATTAGGAAAATGATCTTGCTGTAGATCACATTGTATTACCCCATTTTCAAACCAAAACCTTAATGAAATAGAAATTACTGGAAGACCATTACCTTTTATACATATACAGAAGGGATAACAGATCCTTCAGTAGTAAAGATCAAATGGGATAATGGATATGAAAGTCTTTACTAATCTATAATTATAAACTATTAGCAAGCGGGATTAATTTTTTGGACTTACAAGAGGTAAGATCACATAATAGCTATCCTTCACCAGTACTCAATTCCCTTCACCATATCTCAGCAGAACCTCTCTCCTTACCACTGAGTCAGGAGATAGAAGCTTCCTTCTCACCCTCCAGCCCTCCTCCTCTTTACCTCGGATGTTCTCACTGGCCTCCAGACTATGTACCACATTCCTCCAGTCAGACTGCAGGCGTTTGATGAGAGTAAAGGCAAGCAGAGGGTTAGCCACAGGGGTTGCTGAATCCTCATGCAAGGAAAGTACTTTGTCATAGAATCTGAAAGAGAGAAGTATAATGTTTTCACTTCCAAACGCAGCCACTATACCTAGAGAAAGCTGTCGTGGTGTGCATATGTTGGGGGGCATGATGGCATATGCCTGTAATCCAGCATTCAATAGGCTGAGGCAGGAAGATTCAAGTTTAAGGCCAGCCTTGCATAGTGAGTTCAAGGCTAGCATAGACTACGTAGTGAGATCCTGTCTCAAAAATGCAGTATCAAAACAAAATCAAAAAGACTAGGTAAAACAGGGCTAGGAGGTGTAGCTCAATGCATGAAGCCCTGGGTTCGATCCCCAGCACTGGGAGTGAAAAAAAAAAAGAAAGAAAGAAAAGGAAAGATTAGGTAGAATCGAAGGGCTGATTCTCCTGAGACTTCTGAATAATTTAACTAAAAATCCGCATAAGCACAAAGACCACAAAAACGCAAATACAATGGAAGTAGGTCTACTCATTTGCTCCTTGAAAAAGTTGGTGTACAGCACTCAGTCACTGCTAGGGATTCAAATACAAGACATGGTCCAGCTCCCAAAGAGTTTGCCAACAGGAAAGTTTTTTCCTGCTTTGTCATTCTATTCCCAATACTTAGTGTCTTGTAGAAACTCAAAAACATTGTTGAGTGAATAACGATAATTTTGATGCATGCTACCAGAGAACTGAGCATATAATGCTACTGCAATTTGTAGGCAGAGCATAGACACAAGTGGGAGTTGCAAGGAGAAAGGGAAGATTTCCCAGAAGTGATGACATTTAACCCGATACTGGAAGTCTTTGTTAGAACACGGATGGCTACTATTTATTGCACCTGTACCATGTATTGGCATCCTTAATTATATTCTCATTAATCCTCCCAACAACCCTTAGTGTAGACTTTGTTTTATTTTTATTTTATCATTGATTGACTGATTGATTGCAGTACTGGGCACGGAACCTATATCCCCATTACTGCGCTATATCCCCGCCCTTTTTATTCTGAGACAGGGTCTCACTAAATTGCTAAATTGTTCAGTCTGGGCTTGAATTTGTGATCTTCCTGCCTCAGTTTCACAGAGTATCAGGACTACAGGTGTGCACCACCATGACCCGCTAATATAGATTTTATCGTGCCCATTTTCAGGAAGAAAAAACTGAAACAGGATCACATTATCAGTAAATGGCAAAGCCGGGAATGAACCGAAGTCTACCTGACTCAGTAGTTTGGGTTCTCAGGTGGTTTTGCTATCATGCTTCCCATAGATACAAAACAAAGCAGGGAGGAAGAGCTGCTTTTGTTTTTGAGTCAATAGTTTTTGCTGTTGTGTTTTTGTGCACAAGAGAGCAGAACTTAACATATATATGCTTATTCAAAAAGCTAATCCATATTGGTTACTTTCTATGTGTTGGACTCTATGATGGAAACTAGAGATACAAAGTCAAAAAGGGGCCCAATGAAGGACAAAAGAAAACAATTTCTCATCACTCTGTACCTGAGTTCAATACTTACTTGTATAAGAAAATGAATGAAATACATTCTCCTAAGAGTTGGGGACAGAATTTTGAATAAGACAATGTCCTTGGTCTCAAGAACTCACAGTCCAGTGGATAAGGTAGATACAAATAATTACATTACAGCTGCAGCACCAGGTTTAAGAACAAGACTCAAGCAGCAGTACAGAGCGTGGGTGGTTAACTCATCCAGAGCAGGTTGGGAAGATTTTAAGTAGGGGTGGGATTGCTATGACATGATTACAAACATATAAATCTGTGAGAGGGTAGGAGGAGGACTCAGATGTGGAAGGGACTGGAGAGAGGAAGACCCAGGTGGAGGCTACTTCAGAACCGTAAGGAAGAGGTGAGGAGAGTCTGAGCCAGAACAGTGACCATGGGGGCAGAGAAAGGGATGGCGTTAAAGGAGATATTTAGGAAATTGACAACACAGAAACTAGCAATGACTGTAATGAGGAATAAAGACTGGGATTAACTAGGTCAATTCCAACTTTGCACCTTGGCAACATTTGCAGAAAAGGGCGGGAAATAGATCTAATTGTTTTATTTCTAGGTAATTTCTAAGTAATTTCTAGCTCATCTTTCTAGGTAATTTCTCTCTTCTTCAGATGTCCTGTACAAGTGTGCATATAGGCAAAATAGGCCGTTCTTTTCCTGGAATCCTGTGGTTATTTCAGTTATAACACACTGATAGAATTTATACTCTTGAAATGTATTCATTATATTTAATAAGGCAGGTTAAGAGTACTGGTCTTGCACTCTAAATTTTTTTCCTCTTTCTAAATTATTAATTTCAAAAACAATATAATTACAATGGAAATAAAAGAAGAAAGAGAATAAGCAAGGTGAGTATAGTGTATAATGCATGAAAGGGCACATAAGATTGTAAGTCTTCTGTCAAAAGTGGGGGACTTCTGCAAGAGAAAAAGGATGGGAGAGAAAAGCAGAGGGTGTGGTAGGGGATTCTAATCCCTTGATGTCTGATCTGAGGATTTCCAAATAGTGGGGCTCTCAACTAAGAAAGGGAGTCTGAAATAAAAGACAATTTACTTTGCAGCTTCCAAGGAGCCAAGTTTTCAATTTAACATAAGTTAAGAACAAAAGCCTGGCCCTGGGTGACCTAGGCAGGACACAGGAAGCCTGTATGTCCCAGGATCTCTCTGGTCCTAAAGACAGGGCAGTCCGTAAGCAGCTACCCCAAGGTTTTGCGATTAACCCAGCCTCCAGGGTGTGGGATCCTTTGACTGTCCATTACTGCTTGCTTTAGCTCCATATGGAACTACTTAGTGAAAGCTATTCCATTGCTAGACAAAAAAATGTACAAGCAGAGACTCGTGTTGAGTTTAAAAAAATAAGTGTCCAGGAACAATTGAGGCTGAGTGGGCAGCGATTTTATGAGACAGTTGGCCAGGGAGGACCTGGAAGGGAGGAGTCCTAAGACTTGTTCTGATCCAGGTCCAACCAAAACTGTTTCCTCCTATGTGAAATGAAAAAAAGAAAAAAGAAAAAAAAAAAAAAGCCAAAAAACTGGTCTCCTCTAAATGATCACCATAGGCTCTTTCAGCATATTCACTCTATTATTTCTTTCCATCACCTTTTCTATCACTAAATAAATAGATCTCTTAGTAGCTTGACAGACAGAGGAAAGTGAGGCACACTTGGCAAAAGGTAAGGCACAGAGGTTCATTCTTGTCCCAAGTCACCTATCAAACCCAAACACTACCTATATCCTTGTTTTCTTTGCACCCCACTTTGAATTCTGGGGTTGATTTGTTTAGGCCAAGGGTTTGATCTCTACTGCAGTATATCAACCCAATCTAGTGTTCGGCTATGCCTTTTTTCCCCCGTCACATAAAGAAAAGAGAAAAAGAAAATCTATCAACTGATATTTGAGACTACTTTGGAATCCAAAAGTTGGCCCTATGCCCAGTCTCTGAGCAAATAGTTGGTTTCCAGAGACTATTATGGGATGCTGAATTTAAACCTCAGGGTTTCCTGAATGACTTTTTGCTTTAACAAATACTGCTGAAAGTGGAAAATTAGATCCTTTCCTTCAAGAATCTGCACATAAAATTTGCAACACAATCTCTGTCTGGGTATCCAAACATGATATATGGACTATTTCAATTCAGAATATTTTCCCTTAGTCCTTCTGAGACATTCTGAATGCTTAATTCTTAGCCCAGAGAAATAACTGCTGTTAACTCTATTCTTTCACTGTTAGGGTTTTGTTATTATTATTGTTATTTTGTGGTGCTGGGGCTTGAACTCAGGGCCCAGAATATGCTAGGCAAGAGCTCTGCTACTAAGCTACATCCCCGGATGCTCTAGTTGTTAAACATTAACAATAGCAACCTCAACAAAAAAGCTTAACTATATATGTAATGACGATTACACATGCTATACCTGTGTATAATGACAGTATAGCTAGTATAATTTTTTAATTTATTAACTTGGGGTAGGAAATAGCTTTGACATCCCAAAACAGTTCATTTCCCCATTTAGAAATTCAAAGAATATAAACTAAGGGCCTTAGAAATAACATCTCAAGTTACATAACCAAGATCACCACACTGGGAGTATGAGAAAATGACCAGGAACTGTTAAAATTCTTGTTTTAAAAAAGCAAAGATTTCACTGGGTTTTACAGCCTGACTAGAAAACAGAATTACAGTGTCCAAAATATCAAGGTAAATTTTACAAAACTAAGTGTTTATAAGCTATATTGATGGAAAAAGGCTACATTTTTCTGATTTTTTAAAATTTGGGCTCATAGAGTCCTAGTTGATGCTTGCAGCCAACAGTGGCGACTAGCTTCACCAGCTAGTCTTAAACAATAATCCTAAAGAATTAACATTTAAACTGGGTGCACTGGTGCAACCTGTAATCTCAGATATATGGGAGGCTGAGGCAGGAAGATACTGTCTGAAGCCAATCTGGGCAACTTAGCCAGACCTTGGAAGAAAGGGAGGGAGAAAGGAACAAATAGAGAAAGGGAGGGAAGGAGAGAAGAAGCACGGAGGGGAGGAGGGACAAAGGGTCCGTGGAAAGAAGGGAGAGGGGTAACGTTTGTTGAGCAATTATTGCATGCTAACCACAATGATAAATACCTTTACATGGTACTAAATTCTTCCAACAGTCTTATGGGAGTAAGCACTGTTTTTATCATCAGTACATAGAAAAAAGTCTAAAGCAGTAAAGCAACTTGCCCAAAGTCAGAGTAAGGATTCAAATAGAGGTCTGTTGAACTCCTCAGTCCAGGCCCTTAATCTTGGATATGCTACTAGACTTTAGTTTTTTTTATATTTCAAATGACTTCTCCTTTTTTAATACAACTCTGTTTCAAAGTATTGTGTATGAGGTTAAATGGATGAGATTTGTGCATGACCACGAACCGTGACAAAGCTGTAACAAGAAGAGGTCTCACACAAACTATCTCACATACTCCCTTCCCGTATGACCCCACGGTCAATATTACTGTGACATACTTCAAGTGTTTAAACAGCACTTTCTGT